TCAAGTCGGCGATGGAATCAAGCGACTCCGGCAAGTGGAAAGAAGCGTGTGACTCGGAGTTCGATTCGCTTCAGAGAAACGACACGTGGGAAATCGTGCCTCTTCCGAAAGGTCGCAAGGCCATCGGGTGCCGATGGGTTTTTCGTGTAAAGGAGAATCAAGATGGCGAAGTTGAACGCTTCAAGGCAAGACTTGTGGCCAAAGGATTCTCACAGAAATTCGGAGTTGACTATGAAGAAACTTTCGCACCGGTGGCCAAGTTCACATCGATTCGTGTGGTGCTCCAGTATGGCGGCTAAGTACGGCCTAATGCTACATCAGATGGACGTCAAGACAGCGTTTCTTAACGGCTCCCTCAACGAAGACATCTACATTGACCAGCCGGACGGATACCTGGATGCAACACAGCCGGACTATGTGTGCAAGCTAAAGAGATCACTCTACGGCTTGAAGCAATCGCCTCGCATGTGGAACCAAACAATCGATGGGTTCATGATCAAGATGGGATTCAAGAAGTGCGAATCGGACCACTGCATCTACATCAAGCGAGACGACCAAGACATGATTCTCGTGGTGCTCTACGTCGATGATCTCATCCTGGCCAGCAGCAACAACGAACTCCTCAAGTCAACCAAGATGGCGCTGAGCAAACGCTTCGAAATGACGGATCTCGGTGAGCTCGATTACTTTCTCGGCATGGAGATCAAGAACGACCGTAAGACGGGAATGGTGACTGTACAACAAACCAAGTTTCTCAAGTCCGTGTTAACCAAGTTCGGAATGGATAACAGCAAGCCAGTGAAGACGCCTCAAGATCCCGGCCTGAAGCTAACCAAGAACATGTGTGAACAAGAATGCAAGCACGAAGACACCATGTGCAACGTGCCATATCGAAGTGCTGTCGGAGGCATCATGTATCTCATGGTCGCCACACGTCCGGATCTAGCTGCTGCAGTGGGATCATTATCCCAGTTCTCGTCCGACCCATGCCCGACTCACTGGCAAGCTTTGAAGCGTGTGCTGAGATACCTGCAAGCAACGCCCAATCATGGTCTTGAGTTTACACGTGAAGAAGGAAGCCGTATCTGCGGGTACACCGACGCAGACTGGGCCGGCGACATTGAGTCAAGACGAAGTACAAGCGGCTATGTGTTCATGATGAGCGGAGGATGCATCAGCTGGAAAAGCCAGAAACAACGGACGGTCGCGCTATCTTCAACAGAAGCAGAATACATGGCGCTTTCCGAAGCAACCAAAGAAGCAGTATGGCTCAAAGTGCTTTTGGGGGAACTTGGTGAGATGACAAGCGACGAAGCGATCAAGATGTATGAAGACAACCAAGGATCAATCGCTCTCGCCAAGAACCCGGAGTTCCATAAGAGAACAAAACACATCGACATACGCTACCATTTTGTGCGTGAGAAGGTGGAATCAGGTGAAGTCGTTTTGGAGTATTGCCCGACTCAAGATATGCTGGCAGACATGATGACCAAGCCGATCGCCGCTGTACAATTTGAAAACATTCGCGATCGACTTGGGATCCAAGGTGCCGCAGCTAACGAGTCGAGAGGGAGTGTTGAAAAGACAGCGGCTGTGAAGAAGACACCTCGTCAAGCTGCGTCAAGTGTTGAAGCAAGTGGAAGACCAAGCTTCGCTATACCGGTGGGTACCGGTATGTACCAGTAAGGGCGAAGTCAGGAAATGACGTCACTGGATGACGTCACTGCGAATAATAGGCTTAGAGGTAGTATTCAAAGTTGCGAACTAAGTACCTATTATAAATATATATTCACTTTGCGTTTTGCACTCGGACCAAGAAGTCTAAAGTTCATCAGGTTATGAGCCCAAGTTCGTCAGACTCTGAAACCGCCAACAATTCAAGCTTAGCTGCCATGGACGCCTCCTCCCTCCGCATCTCCAAGTTCGATGGAACTAACTTCCACGCCTGGAAGTTCAAGATGCAGATGGTGCTGGAGGAACGGGACCTATGGGAGGTCGTCAGCGGTGAGATCAAGGCGGAACAGTGCGAGACTCAGTTGGACCAAGCGACGTACAAGAGGAAGTCAAGAAAGGCGATGGCAGTGATCTGTCTAGCCATGGAAGATTCCCAGCTACCGTTGGTCCGGTCGGCAAGTGGTGCATGCGACGCATGGTCAAGGTTGGAAGACCACTTCGAGAAGAAGAGTCTTGCCAACAAGCTGTTCTTGCGCCGTCGCTTCTTCACGACAATGATGGAAGAAGGCGACGATGTGCTCGAACACATCAACAAGCTCAAGACGCTGGCGGAACAGCTAGAAGCGGTGGGGGCTCCAGTCTGCGAGGACGATCTGGTGATCACACTCCTCGGCAGCCTGAGTGACTCGTATCAATTCTTGATCACAGCTTTGGAGTCGCGCTCAGACACTCTTAGCTGGGAGCTCGTGACGTCTCGACTGCTTCATGAAGAAATGAAGCGGAAGGAGCAAGGAAGTAAAGGTGATGAAGCTTCGCAAGGTCAAGCGTTCATCACAAGGGACAATCAGCGCAAAGGGCGACCAGTGAAGAAGTCCTGGCCGTGCCACAATTGCGGAAAGATTGGTCACTGGATGGCGGAGTGCCCCTCGCGCATCCAAGAAAACACGGAGAGACACCGGCCACAGCGTGCTCAAGACAGCGGCGACCGCTATCGATCACAACGTGCAAACGTCGCTCAAGAAGAAGACTCGGGCGACTACCTCTTTTCGATCGGTGAAACGACATCTGCGAAATCGAGCGACATCTGGCTGGTCGACTCCGGGGCGACGCAGCACATGACGTGCTCCAAGAAGTTCATGCGGAACTACAAGGGGTTTGACGCTGTGGATGTCCATCTCGCGGATGATGGAATCGTCCAAGCAATCGGCAGTGGGGACATTGTCATGTCGATGAAGACACCCCAAGGGATGAAGAAAGGTGTGCTCACAAACGTGTGGCACATCCCAAAGTTATCCAGAAACCTGTTCTCGGTCGGCCGCTTCACCAAGGATGTCGGCCCAGTGACGTTCACGAAGGATGGGTGCTATGGAGAAGCGAAAGGGACCAAGTGGAAAATTGGTGCCCGTGAAGGTAAAGGACTGTTCAAGCTGCAAATGACTCCAGTGGCGCCGGAACAAGCAAATGCAGCCAAGTCGTCGGGATGTCAAGGGGGCACCAAGTCGTACCTCTGGCACCTTCGGCTTGCCACATAGGTCACGATGGACTCAATTGCATCGTGACGAAGAACATTGGAATTGGCATCGACATATCTTCGGTGAAGAAGTGGGACGTGTGTGAAGGTTGTGCTCTGGGAAAACAGACTCGAGTGCGCTTCCAATCAAACACTACAGCTCGCACCTCCAAACTCCTCGAAGTGATTCACAGCGACGTATGCGGACCGATGTCGATGGCAACTTTCAGTGGAAAACGGTACTTCGTGACATTCATTGATGACAAGTCAAGATACTGTGTCGTCTATCTGCTCAAGAGCAAATCTGAAGTTGCGGCGAAGTTCATGGAATACGCTGCGATGGCCGAAACGCAAACCGGAAAGCGCGTGAAGTACCTTCAAAGCGACAATGGGGGTGAATACAAGTCCGACAAGCTGGCACGATTCTGCGCGGAACGGGGAATACAACAAAGGTTCACACCCCCATATACTCCTCAGCTAAACGGAGTAGCTGAGAGAATGAATCGCACGCTGGTCGAGTGTGCGCGTTGCATGATGGAACACGCTGGACTGGGAAAGAGCTACTGGGGTGAAGCAGTGATGACGGCGATGTTTCTTCGAAACCGCTGTCCAACACGTGCCATTCACCAAGACAAGTCTCCATATCAAGTGTGGACGATGAAGAAACCGATTCTGGCCAACCTTAAAGTGTTTGGATGCCACGCGTATGTTCAAGTGCCTCAAGACAAACGCGCGAAGTTCGACTCCAAGTCATCACTCTGTCGTTTCCTGGGATACGCCGAACACCAGAAGTCATATCGATTTGAGGAAGTGTCAACAGGAGCGATCAAGATCAGTCGCGATGCCACATTCATGGAAGACAAGTTTGATGAAGGTCCGCGCAACTACAACGATGAGTCAAGTGTCGTTGAGTTTGATGATCATGATGAGGACGAAGAAAAAGAAGAAGGTAAAACTGACGACGACATGGACTCGAGCGACGATGACAACGAAGACACCAGGTCTTCGAAGAGCAACATCAAGAGACACACGCGCACTCAATCACTTGAGAAAGCTACCGTCATTCCAAGTCCCAAGCGAAGAACATACAGAGGTCCGTCGCTTGAGCATGTTTCAGCGGCTGCAATGGATTTTGAAGCAGCCTACATCGTTGATTCAGTGGGGGAAACGCCGACTACATTCAAGTCGGCGATGGAATCAAGCGACTCCGGCAAGTGGAAAGAAGCGTGTGACTCGGAGTTCGATTCGCTTCAGAGAAACGACACGTGGGAAATCGTGCCTCTTCCGAAAGGTCGCAAGGCCATCGGGTGCCGATGGGTTTTTCGTGTAAAGGAGAATCAAGATGGCGAAGTTGAACGTTTCAAGGCAAGACTTGTGGCCAAAGGATTCTCACAGAAATTCGGAGTTGACTATGAAGAAACTTTCGCACCGGTGGCCAAGTTCACATCGATTCGTGTGGTGCTCAGTATGGCGGCCAAGTACGGCCTAATGCTACATCAGATGGACGTCAAGACAGCGTTTCTTAACGGCTCCCTCAACGAAGACATCTACATTGACCAGCCGGACGGATACCTGGATGCAACACAGCCGGACTATGTGTGCAAGCTAAAGAGATCACTCTACGGCTTGAAGCAATCGCCTCGCATGTGGAACCAAACAATCGATGGGTTCATGATCAAGATGGGATTCAAGAAGTGCGAATCGGACCACTGCATCTACATCAAGCGAGACGACCAAGACATGATTCTCGTGGTGCTCTACGTCGATGATCTCATCCTGGCCAGCAGCAACAACGAACTCCTCAAGTCAACCAAGATGGCGCTGAGCAAACGCTTCGAAATGACGGATCTCGGTGAGCTCGATTACTTTCTCGGCATGGAGATCAAGAACGACCGTAAGACGGGAATGGTGACTGTACAACAAACCAAGTTTCTCAAGTCCGTGTTAACCAAGTTCGGAATGGATAACAGCAAGCCAGTGAAGACGCCTCAAGATCCCGGCCTGAAGCTAACCAAGAACATGTGTGAACAAGAATGCAAGCACGAAGACACCATGTGCAACGTGCCATATCGAAGTGCTGTCGGAGGCATCATGTATCTCATGGTCGCCACACGTCCGGATCTAGCTGCTGCAGTGGGATCATTATCCCAGTTCTCGTCCGACCCATGCCCGACTCACTGGCAAGCTTTGAAGCGTGTGCTGAGATACCTGCAAGCAACGCCCAATCATGGTCTTGAGTTTACACGTGAAGAAGGAAGCCGTATCTGCGGGTACACCGACGCAGACTGGGCCGGCGACATTGAGTCAAGACGAAGTACAAGCGGCTATGTGTTCATGATGAGCGGAGGATGCATCAGCTGGAAAAGCCAGAAACAACGGACGGTCGCGCTATCTTCAACAGAAGCAGAATACATGGCGCTTTCCGAAGCAACCAAAGAAGCAGTATGGCTCAAAGTGCTTTTGGGGGAACTTGGTGAGATGACAAGCGACGAAGCGATCAAGATGTATGAAGACAACCAAGGATCAATCGCTCTCGCCAAGAACCCGGAGTTCCATAAGAGAACAAAACACATCGACATACGCTACCATTTTGTGCGTGAGAAGGTGGAATCAGGTGAAGTCGTTTTGGAGTATTGCCCGACTCAAGATATGCTGGCAGACATGATGACCAAGCCGATCGCCGCTGTACAATTTGAAAACATTCGCGATCGACTTGGGATCCAAGGTGCCGCAGCTAACGAGTCGAGAGGGAGTGTTGAAAAGACAGCGGCTGTGAAGAAGACACCTCGTCAAGCTGCGTCAAGTGTTGAAGCAAGTGGAAGACCAAGCTTCGCTATACCGGTGGGTACCGGTATGTACCAGTAAGGGCGAAGTCAGGAAATGACGTCACTGGATGACGTCACTGCGAATAATAGGCTTATAGGTAGTATTCAAAGTTGCGAACTAAGTACCTATTATAAATATATATTCACTTTGCGTTTTGCACTCGGACCAAGAAGTCTAAAGTTCATCACAGATGAAGTAGCTCAAACGTATCGTAGCTGCGCTTGTCTCGGTTGCTTGGAAATGGTTTTTGGACCATTTTCCCTTGTTGACATCCTCGACATGTAGTTGCTCCACCCGACTTGAGAGGGACTCGCACATCCTTGATCATGTTGGTCGCGATCATCTTGCGAAGTACATCGACTGGAGCATGACCCATTCTCGCATGTAGATTGGCACAACTGGTTCCACTTGTTGTCACATTCGCTGATCGTTGAGTCGTCCGAAGCCAGTAGAGTCCATCCACGAGATCCGCTGTCGCCACCACTTGCTGTGAGTTCTTGAGAGTCACATACATCTTGGACCCGTCAAACACGACTTGAAACTTGCCATGGCTGTTAATCTGTGGCACCGAGAGCAGGTTCTTGCTCATACTTGGAACATATAGCGCGTTCTTGATTTCGATCTCACGCTCTTCACCGTTGGGCAGAACCACCTTTTCCATGATGGTTCCCACACCCTTGATGGCCACCTTGTTGCCATCAGCCACCAAGAGTTCGCCCTCATTGCGCTCTGCCAAACTTGCGAACTTGGTCTTGTCGTGGCAAATGTGGTGCGTTGCACCACTGTCGACGGCCCACATTCCAGACACGTCCTTGCTCGTCGAAACTCCACATTCGAACGAGACTGCAAACGCCACTCGATCGTAGCCATTGTATTCATCATGATGTCCCCACTGGACATTGTTAGCCCCGCGTCCACGACCATTGCCGCCGCGTCGGGCTCCCCGACCTTCGTTCTTCTGCTTTGTCCAGCAACGATCCACCGTGTGTCCCACCTTGCCACAATACGTGCATTGGTAGGGCTCACGCTCGGCGCTGAATGCCTTGCTTGCATCTTCAGCCTTCACCGTAGTCGCTGTCGTTGTCCCTTTTTCTCCTTGACGCTTGGCATGCTCATTCGTCAGGACTCTCACCACATCTTGAGTGCGAAGCTCGGTGCTGCTCATTTCCATGTTGAGCACCACATTTTCGTAGCTCTTCGGAAGACTGAGTAGCAGACAAATTGCAACGTCTTCGTCTTCCATCTTCGCACCGATGCCGCTAAGCTTGGCGGAGATGTTGAGGACCTCGTTGCAGTGATGCATGACGTTCGCGCCTTCAGCCATCTTGATACTGAAAAGTTGTCGCTTGAGGTAGATGCGTCCTGCCTTCTGCGACCCACCGTACAGCGTCTTCAGACTTGTCCACGCAACCCAGGCTTCCTCGCAGTTGTCCAGCACATGATGGTAGTCCGCGTTCATGTGCAGCAGCATCATACCAAACGCGACGTTGCTTGCCTTGACGTAGTCATCGGACGCTCGCGGGTCGGTGAAAGTCGGAGTCACTTCACGGTTGACAACGTGCCAGACGGACTTCGTCAAAAACACACCGCGCATGTACCGGCTCCACGTTGCGTAATTGTCTCCGTTGAACTTGTCAATGAAGGCGTTGCTGGTGGACGACATGGCGCTTGGGCTCATAACCTGTTGCATTGTAGATCGGAGCGAGGAAAGCGGAGCAAACGGAGCGGAGAGACCGAAGAGAGTAGAGCAGAAAACACTTGCCCAATAGTTGGAAGATTCGAAAGTGATTGATTATCGGGGCTTACTACTTACTACATGATTTATATGTGGTGTACATATAAATCATGTGAAGCGTCTCATCATCCTACGCGTCTAATCAACTATGGTAATTACCGTAAGAACTACGTCGTAAATACTAAGCTGAACAGGCGGTTCGGATTGGATCGGTCACGGTTACCAATACTGGTAGAAAACCGATGACCGTCAACACGCCCCCTCAATCCGAATGCTCACGAATCCCGAGAGTCGCCGTCATCTCCTTGTGGCGTGGCCCGTGAAGTCCCTTCGTCATGATGTCCGCTAACATCACCGCAGTTTCACAGTACTTGAGCTTCACTTCACCGCGCTTGACCTCATCACGGATGTGATGGTACTTGATATCAATGTGCTTGGCACGGCCGTGGTTGACTGGGTTCTTCGTCATCTTGATACACGACTGATTGTCTTCATGAATCATGAGTTCCGGTCCTTCTTCATTGGCAGCCATCACGATCTCAAAAAGCAGACGATGAATCCACTTGCCCTCTTGAATCGCCAAGCTGAGTGCGATGTATTCAGCTTCACTCGTGGACAACGAAACACTTGGCTGCTTCTTGCTGCCCCAACTGACTGGCGCACCGAGTAGCATGAACGTGTACCCCGATGTTGACTTGCGGTCGGTAAGATCACCAGTCCAATCCGCATCCGAATATCCACGGAAGTCGATCCTTGCACTTGGCTTGTAGCAAATTCCATGCGTCTTGGTGCCTTGTAGGTAGCGAAAGATACGCTTAACTGCAACCCAGTGTTCTTCTTGGGGATTTTCCATGAACCGCGACACATAGCCCACAGCAAACGCAATGTCCGGACGCGTTGCAGTGGTCAGGTGCATCAACGCACCAACAGCTTCGCGAAAAGGAGCATCGACCTTGGTAGTTGCATCACTTGAAACAAGTCGAGAGCTCATGTCGACTGGACTTGCGACTGCCTTGCAATCATCCATGCCAAAGCGCTTGAGGATATCATCGACATACCGACGCTGACATAGTGTCACACTGCCATCTTCACCGTCCAAAAGCTCGATCCCAAGAACAAACGCACACTTGCCGCTGTCCGTCATTTCGAACCGCGTCTTCAGGTCGTTCTTGGTTTGTGCAATCAGCTCGAGTGAGCTTCCAGTCACCAAGACGTCGTCCACGTAGACCAGTATAAACACGCAATGGCCGTCCGAAGTCTTGATGTAGAGACATGGGTCGAAGTCCGATACTTGAAATCCGATGGAGCACACATACTCGTCGAACGTCTCGCTCCACACTCGCGAAGCTTGCTTCAGGCCGTAAATTGACTTCACCAATTCCAGGCAGTCGAACGTACTGTCAAGTTCGACGCCTTCAGGAATCACGCAGAACACTTGTTCCTTCATGACGCCATACAGGAAAGCTGTCACCACATCAAGCTGGTCGATGGGCCATCCAAAATGCTTTGAAATTGCGATCACCATTCGCAGCGTCACATACTTGACCACAGGCGAAAACGTCTCCGTGTAGTCGATGCCATACTTTTGGCGGAAACCCTTGGCCACAAGTCGTGCCTTGTACTTCTCGATTGACCCATCCGCCTTGCGCTTAATCTTGAACACCCATTTTGTGCCAATGGCGCGTTGTCCGTTGGGCAGCTTGGCTGCACGAAACACACCGCGAAGTCGCATTGACTCGAGCTCTGCATGAATTGCTTTTCTCCAGTGCACTTGGTCAGGGCCGCTTACTGCTGCTTCAAATGTTGAGGGTTCTGATAAGTCCACTGCTGCTTCAACGGCATTTGCACTCGCACGCCAAAACACAGGCGGTGTTGAATCACCAGAATCCTTCGTTTCTTCGTCTTCTTCTTGTCGTGACGAGTTGTTTTCCGGCGCGCTTGACTCTTCTAGTCCTGGTCGTTGACGCACTGCACGCGGTCGTGGAGCTGCTGTATCTTTATCATTGAGTCGGTTCTTGCGCTTGCCTGTTTGCTTGTACTCCATTTGACGCAGCTCTTCGTCATCAAGATCCAGCAATTCGAAGTCCAGGTCATCGACATCTTCATCAGTGATCGGCAGTTGAAGTCCAAAGGTGGACTCGTCGAAGTTGACATCGCGGCTGATAACCACCTGCCCCGCCTCGATGTCATAAACACGATATGCCTTTGTTGCATTGTAGATCGGAGCGAGGAAAGCGGAGCAAACGGAGCGGAGAGACCGAAGAGAGTAGAGCAGAAAACACTTGCCCAATAGTTGGAAGATTCGAAAGTGATTGATTATCGGGGCTTACTACTTACTACATGATTTATATGTGGTGTACATATAAATCATGTGAAGCGTCTCATCATCCTACGCGTCTAATCAACTATGGTAATTACCGTAAGAACTACGTCGTAAATACTAAGCTGAACAGGCGGTTCGGATTGGATCGGTCACGGTTACCAATACTGGTAGAAAACCGATGACCGTCAACACGCCCCCTCAATCCGAATGCTCACGAATCCCGAGAGTCGCCGTCATCTCCTTGTGGCGTGGCCCGTGAAGTCCCTTCGTCATGATGTCCGCTAACATCACCGCAGTTTCACAGTACTTGAGCTTCACTTCACCGCGCTTGACCTCATCACGGATGTGATGGTACTTGATATCAATGTGCTTGGCACGGCCGTGGTTGACTGGGTTCTTCGTCATCTTGATACACGACTGATTGTCTTCATGAATCATGAGTTCCGGTCCTTCTTCATTGGCAGCCATCACGATCTCACAAAGCAGACGATGAATCCACTTGCCCTCTTGAATCGCCAAGCTGAGTGCGATGTATTCAGCTTCACTCGTGGACAACGAAACACTTGGCTGCTTCTTGCTGCCCCAACTGACTGGCGCACCGAGTAGCATGAACGTGTACCCCGATGTTGACTTGCGGTCGGTAAGATCACCAGCCCAATCCGCATCCGAATATCCACGGAAGTCGATCCTTGCACTTGGCTTGTAGCAAATTCCATGCGTCTTGGTGCCTTGTAGGTAGCGAAAGATACGCTTAACTGCAACCCAGTGTTCTTCTTGGGGATTTTCCATGAACCGCGACACATAGCCCACAGCAAACGCAATGTCCGGACGCGTTGCAGTGGTCAGGTGCATCAACGCACCAACAGCTTCGCGAAAAGGAGCATCGACCTTGGTAGTTGCATCACTTGAAACAAGTCGAGAGCTCATGTCGACTGGACTTGCGACTGCCTTGCAATCATCCATGCCAAAGCGCTTGAGGATATCATCGACATACCGACGCTGACATAGTGTCACACTGCCATCTTCACCGTCCAAAAGCTCGATCCCAAGAACAAACGCACACTTGCCGCTGTCCGTCATTTCGAACCGCGTCTTCAGGTCGTTCTTGGTTTGTGCAATCAGCTCGAGCGAGCTTCCAGTCACCAAGACGTCGTCCACGTAGACCAGTATAAACACGCAATGGCCGTCCGAAGTCTTGATGTAGAGACATGGGTCGAAGCCTGACACTTGAAATCCAATGGAACACACACTCGTCAAAAGTCTCGTTCCATACTCGCAAAGCTTGCTTCAGGCCGTAAATTGCCTTCACCAATTCCAGGCAGTCGAACGTACTGTCAAGTTCGACGCCTTCAGGAATCACGCAGAACACTTGTTCCTTCATGACGCCATACAGGAAAGCTGTCACCACATCAAGCTGGTCGATGGGCCATCCAAAATGCTTGGAAATTGCGATCACCATTCTCAGCGTCACATACTTGACCACGGGCGAAAACGTCTCCGTGTAGTCGATTCCATACTTTTGGCGAAAGCCCTTTGCCACGAGACGTGCCTTGTACTTCTCGATAGATCCATCCGCCTTGCGCTTGATCTTGAACACCCATTTTGTGCCAATGGCGCGTTGTCCGTTGGGCAGCTTGGCTGCACGAAACACACCGCGAAGTCGCATTGACTCGAGCTCTGCATGAATTGCTTTTCTCCAGTGCACTTGGTCAGGGCCGCTTACTGCTGCTTCAAATGTTGAGGGCTCTGATAAGTCCACTGCTGCTTCAACGGCATTTGCACTCGCACGCCAAAACACAGGCGGTGTTGAATCACCAGAATCCTTCGTTTCTTCGTCTTCTTCTTGGCGTGACGAGTTGTTTTCCGGCGCGCTTGACTCTTCTAGTCCTGGTCGTTGACGCACTGCACGCGGTCGTGGAGCTGCTGTATCTTCATCATTGAGTCGGTTCTTGCGCTTGCCTGTTTGCTTGTACTCCATTTGACGCAGCTCTTCGTCATCAAGATCCAGCAATTCGAAGTCCAGGTCATCGACATCTTCATCAGTGATCGGCAGTTGAAGTCCAAAGGTGGACTCGTCGAAGTTGACATCGCGGCTGATAACCACCTGCCCCGCCTCGATGTCATAAACACGATATGCCTTCGAAACTTCTTCGTAGCCCACGAATATGCCAGCGCGAGCCTTTGGATCCCACTTGAGTCGATTCTCTTTAGGCGTCAGTATGTATGTCTGACACCCGAATGTTCGCATGTGCTTGACGCTTGGTTTCAAGTTGTAGACGATCTCAAACGGGGTCTTGTGCACGACTTTAGGTGACGGCAGTCGATTCTTGACGTAGATGGCCGTCATCGCTGCTTCGGCCCAGAAACACTTGTCCAGTTTGGCATGATGAAGCATGCTGCGGCCGATCGTGACAATAGTCCTAATGGCACGCTCTGCTGTTCCGTTTGTTTGATGTGCATACGGCACCGTTGTCTGCTGTTCAATGCCTTCGTCTTCGTAGAACAGTTGAAGCGAGTTGGTTGCAAACTCGCGAGCTCCGTCGTGTCGCACGAACTTGACCTTCTTACAGAATTGCGTCTGTACCATGGTGATATATTTCCGGATGTAGTCTTCACTCTCGGACTTCACTCGTAGACAAAAGCCCTTCATGCATCCACTGGCTTCGTCGATGATCAGCAGCAAATATTTGCTGCCACCGAGCGAATCCTTTTCCATGGGCCCGCAGATGTCCAGATGAAGTAGCTCAAACGTATCGTAGCTGCGCTTGTCTCGGTTACTTGGAAATGGTTTTTGGACCATTTTCCCTTGTTGACATCCTCGACATGTAGTTGCTCCACCCGACTTGAGAGGGACTCGCACATCCTTGATCATGTTGGTCGCGATCATCTTGCGAAGTACATCGACTGGAGCATGACCCATTCTCGCATGTAGATCGGCACAACTGGTTCCACTTGTTGTCACATTCGCTGATCGTTGAGTCGTCCGGAAGCCAGTAGAGTCCATCCACGAGATCCGCTGTCGCCACCACTTGCTGTGAGTTCTTGAGAGTCACATACATCTTGGACCCGTCAAACACGACTTGAAACTTGCCATGGCTGTTAATCTGTGGCACCGAGAGCAGGTTCTTGCTCATACTTGGAACATATAGCGCGTTCTTGATTTCGATCTCACGCTCTTCACCGTTGGGCAGAACCACCTTTTCCATGATGGTTCCCACACCCTTGATGGCCACCTTGTTGCCATCAGCCACCAAGAGTTCGCCCTCATTGCGCTCTGCCAAACTTGCGAACTTGGTCTTGTCGTGGCAAATGTGGTGCGTTGCACCACTGTCGACGGCCCACATTCCAGACACGTCCATGCTCGTCGAAACTCCACATTCGAACGAGACTGCAAACGCCACTCGATCGTAGCCATTGCCTTCATCATGATGTCCCCACTGGACATTGTTAGCCCCGCGTCCACGACCATTGCCGCCGCGTCGGGCTCCCCGACCTTCGTTCTTCTGCTTTGTCCAGCAACGATCCACCGTGTGTCCCACCTTGCCACAATACGTGCATTGGTAGGGCTCACGCTCGGCGCTGAATGCCTTGCTTGCATCTTCAGCCTTCACCGTAGTCGCTGTCGTTGTCCCTTTTTCTCCTTGACGCTTGGCATGCTCATTCGTCAGGACTCTCACCACATCTTGAGTGCGAAGCTCGGTGCTGCTCATTTCCATGTTGAGCACCACATTTTTGTAGCTCTTCGGAAGACTGAGTAGCAGACAAATTGCAATGTCTTCGTCTTCCATCTTCGCACCGATGCCGCTAAGCTTGGCGGAGATGTTGAGGACCTCGTTGCAGTGATGCATGACGTTCGCGCCTTCAGCCATCTTGATACTGAAAAGTTGTCGCTTGAGGTAGATGCGTCCTGCCTTCTGCGACCCACCGTACAGCGTCTTCAGACTTGTCCACGCAACCCAGGCTTCCTCGCAGTTGTCCAGCACATGATGGTAGTCCGCGTTCATGTGCAGCAGCATCATACCAAACGCGACGTTGCTTGCCTTGACGTAGTCATCGGACGCTCGCGGGTCGGTGAAAGTCGGAGTCACTTCACGGTTGACAACGTGCCAGACGGACTTCGTCAAAAACACACCGCGCATGTACCGGCTCCACGTTGCGTAATTGTCTCCGTTGAACTTGTCAATGGAGGCGTTGCTGGTGGACGACATGGCGCTTGGGCTCATAACCTGTTGCATTGTATATCGGAGCGAGGAAAGCGGAGCAAACGGAGCGGAGAGACCGAAGAGAGTAGAGCAGAAAACACTTGCCCAATAGTTGGAAGATTCGAAAGTGATTGATTATCGGGACTTACTACTTACTACATGATTTATATGTGGTGCACATATAAATCATGTGAAGCGTCTCATCATCCTACGCGTCTAATCAACTATGGTAATTACCGTAAGAACTACGTCGTAAATACTAAGCTGAACAGGCGGTTCGGATTGGACCGGTCACGGTTACCAATACTGGTAGAAACCGATGACCGTCAACACGCCCCCTCAATCCGAACTCGCACGAATGACGAGAGCCGTCGTCAAGTCCTTGTGACGAGGTCCCGAAAGTCCCTTGGTCATGATGTCCGCCATCATCACGGAAGTCTCGCAATACTCGAGCTGCACTTCCCCGCGCTTGACCTCATCACGGATGTGATGGTACTTGATGTCGATGTGCTTGGCGCGGCCATGATTCACCGGATTCTTCGTCATCTTGATGCACGACTGGTTGTCTTCACGGATGACGAGGTCCGGTCCTGGTTCGTTTGCGGCCGCCAAAATCTCGCATAGCAGGCGATGCACCCACTTGCCTTCCTGGATGGCCAGACTCAGTGCGATGTATTCCGCTTCACTCGTCGACAGCGACACACTTGACTGCTTCTTGCTTCCCCAACTCACAGGAGCACCCATCAGCATGAAAGTGTAACCCGAAGTCGACTTGCGGTCAGCGTGGTCGCCAGCCCAATCCGCGTCCGAGTAGCCACGAAAGTCGATCTTGTCGCTTGGCTGGAAGCGGAGTCCATGCGACTTGGTCCCTTGCAAGTAACGAAAGATGCGCTTCACCGCCGTCCAATGTTCTTGCTGCGGATTCTCCATGAAGCGCGAGACGTACCCCACACCATACGCAATGTCCGGGCGCGTCGCAGTCGTCAAGTGCATCAAAGCTCCCACAGCTTCACGAAACGGAACGTCGATCTTGGCCGCTTCGGTGCTTGCGACAAGCCGAGTGCTCAAGTCGACCGGACTTGCTGTGGCCTTGCACGCATCCATGCCGAAGCGCTTGAGGATGTCGTTGACATACCGTCGCTGGCACATTGTCAGGCTGCCATCCGATTCCCGTCCACCAGTTCGATGCCCAGTACAAAAGTACACTTGCCACTGTCGGTCATCTCGAAACGCGTCTTGAGGTCGGCCTTCGTCTGCGCAATCAACTCGAGCGAGCTGCCGGTGTCCCGGTTTTTTCAGGTGTGTTGTCCTCTAAACAACACTTTTTCTTTCTTGACGCCATAAGGAAGGTGTCACCACATCTGGCGATGGTGTTGAAAAGACAGCGGCTGTGAAGAAGACACCTCGTCAAGCTGCGTCAAGTGTTGAAGCAAGTGGAAGACCAAGCTTCGCTATACCGGTGGGTACCGGTATGTACCAGTAAGGGCGAAGTCAGGAAATGACGTCACTGGATGACGTCATTGCATGACGTCAGTGGGTGACGTCAGTGGGTGACGTCACTGGATGACGTCACTGCGAATAATAGGCTTAGAGGTAGTATTCAAAGTTGCGAACTAAGTACCTATTATAAATATATATTCACTTTGCGTTTTGCACTCGGACCAAGAAGTCTAAAGTTCATCAGGTTATGAGCCCAAGTTCGTCAGACTCTGAAACCGCCAACAATTCAAGCTTAGCTGCCATGGACGCCCTCCTCCCTCCGCATCTCCAAGTTCGATGGAACTAACTTCCACGCCTGGAAGTTCAAGATGCAGATGGTGCTGGAGGAACGGGACCTATGGGAGGTCGTCAGCGGTGAGATCAAGGCGGAACAGTGCGAGACTCAGTTGGACCAAGCGACGTACAAGAGGAAGTCAAGAAAGGCGATGGCAGTGATCTGTCTAGCCATGGAAGATTCCCAGCTACCGTTGGTCCGGTCGGCAAGTGGTGCATGCGACGCATGGTCAAGGTTGGAAGACCACTTCGAGAAGAAGAGTCTTGCCAACAAGCTGTTCTTGCGCCGTCGCTTCTTCACGACAATGATGGAAGAAGGTGATGATGTTCTCCAACACATCAACAAGGTCAAGACGCTAGCGGAGCAGCTAGAAGCGGTGGGGGCTCCAGTCTGCGAGGACGATCTGGGTGATCACACTCCTCGGCAGCCTGAGTGACTCGTATCAATTCTTGATCACAGCTTTGGAGTCGCGCTCAGACACTCTTAGCTGGGAGCTCGTGACGTCTCGACTGCTTCATGAAGAAATGAAGCGGAAGGAGCAAGGAAGTAAAGGTGATGAAGCTTCACAAGGTCAAGCGTTCATCACAAGGGACAATCAGCGCAAAGGGCGACCAGTGGAGAAGTCCTGGCCGTGCCACAATTGCGGAAAGATTGGTCACTGGATGGCGGAGTGCCCCTCGCGCATCCAAGAAAACACGGAGAGACACCGGCCACAGCGTGCTCAAGACAGCGGCGACCGCTATCGATCACAACGTGCAAACGTCGCTCAAGAAGAAGACTCGGGCGACTACCTCTTTTCGATCGGTGAAACGACATCTGCGAAATCGAGCGACATCTGGCTGGTCGACTCCGGGGCGACGCAGCACATGACGTGCTCCAAGAAGTTCATGCGGAACTACAAGGGGTTTGACGCTGTGGATGTCCATCTCGCGGATGATGGAATCGTCCAAGCAATCGGCAGTGGGGACATTGTCATGTCGATGAAGACACCCCAAGGGATGAAGAAAGGTGTGCTCACAAACGTGTGGCACATCCCAAAGTTATCCAGAAACCTGTTCTCGGTCGGCCGCTTCACCAAGGATGTCGGCCCAGTGACGTTCACGAAGGATGGGTGCTATGGAGAAGCGAAAGGGACCAAGTGGAAAATTGGTGCCCGTGAAGGTAAAGGACTGTTCAAGCTGCAAATGACTCCAGTGGCGCCGGAACAAGCAAATGCAGCCAAGTCGTCGGGATGTCAAGGGGGCACCAAGTCGTACCTCTGGCACCTTCGGCTTGGCCACATAGGTCACGATGGACTCAATTGCATCGTGACGAAGAACATTGGAATTGGCATCGACATATCTTCGGTGAAGAAGTGGGACGTGTGTGAAGGTTGTGCTCTGGGAAAACAGACTCGAGTGCGCTTCCAATCAAACACTACAGCTCGCACCTCCAAACTCCTCGAAGTGATTCACAGCGACGTATGCGGACCGATGTCGATGGCAACTTTTAGTGGAAAACGGTACTTCGTGACATTCATTGATGACAAGTCAAGATACTGTGTCGTCTATCTGCTCAAGAGCAAATCTGAAGTTGCGGCGAAGTTCATGGAATACGCTGCGATGGCCGAAACGCAAACCGGAAAGCGCGTGAAGTACCTTCAAAGCGACAATGGGGGTGAATACAAGTCCGACAAGCTGGCACGATTCTGCGCGGAACGGGGAATACAACAAAGGTTCACACCCCCATATACTCCTCAGCTAAACGGAGTAGCTGAGAGAATGAATCGCACGCTGGTCGAGTGTGCGCGTTGCATGATGGAACACGCTGGACTGGGAAAGAGCTACTGGGGTGAAGCAGTGATGACAGCGATGTTTCTTCGAAACCGCTGTCCAACACGTGCCATTCACCAAGACAAGTCTCTATATCAAGTGTGGACGATGAAGAAACCGATTCTGGCCAACCTTAAAGTGTTTGGATGCCACGCGTATGTTCAAGTGCCTCAAGACAAACGCGCGAAGTTCGACTCCAAGTCATCACTCTGTCGTTTCCTGGGATACGCCGAACACCAGAAGTCATATCGATTTGAGGAAGTGTCAACAGGAGCGATCAAGATCAGTCGCGATGCCACATTCATGGAAGACAAGTTTGATGAAGGTCCGCGCAACTACAACGATGAGTCAAGTGTCGTTGAGTTTGATGATCATGATGAGGACGAAGAAAAAGAAGAAGGTAAAACTGACGACGACATGGACTCGAGCGACGATGACAACGAAGACACCAGGTCTTCGAAGAGCAACATCAAGAGACACACGCGCACTCAATCACTTGAGAAAGCTACCGTCATTCCAAGTCCCAAGCGAAGAACATACAGAGGTCCGTCGCTTGAGCATGTGTCAGCGGCTGCAATGGATTTTGAAGCAGCCTACATCGTTGATTCAGTGGGGAAACGCCGACTACATTCAAGTCGGCGATGGAATCAAGCGACTCCGGCAAGTGGAAAGAAGCGTGTGACTCGGAGTTCGATTCGCTTCAGAGAAACGACACGTGGGAAATCGTGCCTCTTCCGAAAGGTCGCAAGGCCATCGGGTGCCGATGGGTTTTTCGTGTAAAGGAGAATCAAGATGGCGAAGTTGAACGTTTCAAGGCAAGACTTGTGGCCAAAGGATTCTCACAGAAATTCGGAGTTGACTATGAAGAAACTTTCGCACCGGTGGCCAAGTTCACATCGATTCGTGTGGTGCTCAGTATGGCGGCCAAGTACGGCCTAATGCTACATCAGATGGACGTCAAGACAGCGTTTCTTAACGGCTCCCTCAACGAAGACATCTACATGGACCAGCCGGACGGATACCTGGATGCAACACAGCCGGACTATGTGTGCAAGCTAAAGAGATCACTCTACGGCTTGAAGCAATCGCCTCGCATGTGGAACCAAACAATCGATGGGTTCATGATCAAGATGGGATTCAAGAAGTGCGAATCGGACCACTGCATCTACATCAAGCGAGACGACCAAGACATGATTCTCGTGGTGCTCTACGTCGATGATCTCATCCTGGCCAGCAGCAACAACGAACTCCTCAAGTCAACCAAGATGGCGCTGAGCAAACGCTTCGAAATGACGGATCTCGGTGAGCTCGATTACTTTCTCGGCATGGAGATCAAGAACGACCGTAAGACGGGAATGGTGACTGTACAACAAACCAAGTTTCTCAAGTCCGTGTTAACCAAGTTCGGAATGGATAACAGCAAGCCAGTGAAGACGCCTCAAGATCCCGGCCTGAAGCTAACCAAGAACATGTGTGAACAAGAATGCAAGCACGAAGACACCATGTGCAACGTGCCATATCGAAGTGCTGTCGGAGGCATCATGTATCTCATGGTCGCCACACGTCCGGATCTAGCTGCTGCAGTGGGATCATTATCCCAGTTCTCGTCCGACCCATGCCCGACTCACTGGCAAGCTTTGAAGCGTGTGCTGAGATACCTGCAAGCAACGCCCAATCATGGTCTTGAGTTTACACGTGAAGAAGGAAGCCGTATCTGCGGGTACACCGGACGCAGACTGGGCCGGCGACATTGAGTCAAGACGAAGTACAAGCGGCTATGTGTTCATGATGAGCGGAGGATGCATCAGCTGGAAAAGCCAGAAACAACGGACGGTCGCGCTATCTTCAACAGAAGCAGAATACATGGCGCTTTCCGAAGCAACCAAAGAAGCAGTATGGCTCAAAGTGCTTTTGGGGGAACTTGGTGAGATGACAAGCGACGAAGCGATCAAGATGTATGAAGACAACCAAGGATCAATCGCTCTCGCCAAGAACCCGGAGTTCCATAAGAGAACAAAACACATCGACATACGCTACCATTTTGTGCGTGAGAAGGTGGAATCAGGTGAAGTCGTTTTGGAGTATTGCCCGACTCAAGATATGCTGGCAGACATGATGACCAAGCCGATCGCCGCTGTACAATTTGAAAACATTCGCGATCGACTTGGGATCCAAGGTGCCGCAGCTAACGAGTCGAGAGGGAGTGTTGAAAAGACAGCGGCTGTGAAGAAGACACCTCGTCAAGCTGCGTCAAGTGTTGAAGCAAGTGGAAGACCAAGCTTCGCTATACCGGTGGGTACCGGTATGTACCAGTAAGGGCGAAGTCAGGAAATGACGTCACTGGATGACGTCATTGCATGACGTCAGTGGGTGACGTCAGTGGGTGACGTCACTGGATGACGTCACTGCGAATAATAGGCTTAGAGGTAGTATTCAAAGTTGCGAACTAAGTACCTATTATAAATATATATTCACTTTGCGTTTTGCACTCGGACCAAGAAGTCTAAAGTTCATCACCGGTGACCAACACGTCATCCACGTAGACCAGCACGAGCACACAGTGACCGTCGACAACCTTGATGTAGAGACATGGGTCGAACGCCGACGCTTCGAAACCGATGGAGCATACGAACTCGTCGAAAGTCTCGTTCCACACACGTGAAGCTTGCTTGAGACCGTAGATCGCCTTCACCAACTCGAGACAGTCGAAGTCGCCATCCATCTCGACGCCTTCTGGTATCACGCAGTACACCTTCTCCTTCATCACTCCGTAGAGAAAGGCTGTCACCACATCGAGTTGGTCCAGTGGCCAGTCGAAATACTTGGTGATCGCGATCACCATACGCAGTGTCACGTACTTGACCACGGGCGAGAACGTCTCTGTGTAGTCGATGCCGTACTTCTGCTTGAAGCCCTTGGCAACGAGACGCGCCTTGTATTTCTCGACCGATCCATCCGCTTTGCGCTTGATCTTGAACACCCACTTGGTGCCGATCGCGCCTTGGCCTCTTGGCAGTTTTGCCGCACGGAAAACTCCACGAAGATGCATCGACTTGAGTTCCGCCTTCACAGCATTTCGCCAGTGAGTTTGATCAGGACCATTGATCGCGTCTTGAAAAGTCACAGGTTCTGCTAGGTCCGTTGCTTCCACTGCGTTTGCACTTGCACGCCAAAATGTTGGAGGCGTCGAGTCGTCATCTTGATCGTACACGCTTGCATCTTCTTCGTCATCAGACATCGTTTCTGGAGCACTTGATCGTCGTTTCTGGTGACGGTTGGAGACGTGTTCCGGCGCACTTGCTTGTTCCAACCCAGTTCGAGGGCGAGCTGACCGTGACATGCCGGGTCTTGCTTCACTCTTGCGCTTGCCAGTCTGCTTGTAGACGGTTTGACGCACGTCGTCCTCGTTGATCGCCAGGAGGTCGAGGTCCAACTCCGCATCTTCATCATCGTCACTTGGTCGGTCCATCGAAAAGTCAAAAGTCGATTCGTCGAAGGTGATGTCACGACTGATCACCACTTGGCCCGCCTCAATGTCGTACACTCGATAAGCTTTTGACGCTTCTTCGTAGCCCATGAACATCCCTTCACAAGCCTTCGGGTCCCACTTCAATCGCTTCTCCCTTGGTGTCAGGATAAACGCCCGACATCCAAACACGCGCATGTGCTTGACACTTGGTTTCGACTTGTACACGATCTCGAACGGAGTCTTGTGGTCGATCTTGGGTGAAGGCAGGCGGTTCTTGATGTAGATCGCCGTCATTGCCGCTTCAGCCCAGAAACACTTCTCCAGCTTTGCATGATGCAACAAGCTGCGTCCGATCGTGACGATGGTCCTTATCGCGCGTTCTGCGGTGCCGTTGGTCTGGTGTGCATACGGCACCGTTGTCTGCTGTTCAATGCCTTCGTCTTCGTAGAACAGTTGAAGCGAGTTGGTTGCAAACTCGCGAGCTCCGTCGTGTCGCACGAACTTGACCTTCTTACTGTTGAATGGTGAAAAGCTTGACGACCGAAACTGGGAGTGATGCTGGGAGTCTACTCGGAAGACCGGAGAAGACACTTGGGGGGTAGATGGAAGATTGGAAAGTGATTGATTATCGGGGCTTACTACTTACTACATGATTTATATGTGGTGCACATATAAATCATGTGAAGCGTCTCATCATCCTACGCGTCTAATCAACTATGGTAATTACCGTAAGAACTACGTCGTAAATACTAAGCTGAACAGGCGGTTCGGATTGGACCGGTCACGGTTACCAATACTGGTAGAAACCGATGACCGTCAACACGCCCCCTCAATCCGAACTCGCACGAATGCCGAGAGCCGTCGTCAAGTCCTTGTGACGAGGTCCCGAAAGTCCCTTGGTCATGATGTCCGCCATCATCACGGAAGTCTCGCAATACTCGAGCTGCACTTCCCCGCGCTTGACCTCATCACGGATGTGATGGTACTTGATGTCGATGTGCTTGGCGCGGCCATGATTCACCGGATTCTTCGTCATCTTGATGCACGACTGGTTGTCTTCACGGATGACGAGGTCCGGTCCTGGTTCGTTTGCGGCCGCCAAAATCTCGCATAGCAGGCGATGCACCCACTTGCCTTCCTGGATGGCCAGACTCAGTGCGATGTATTCCGCTTCACTCGTCGACAGCGACACACTTGACTGCTTCTTGCTTCCCCAACTCACAGGAGCACCCATCAGCATGAAAGTGTAACCCGAAGTCGACTTGCGATCAGCGTGGTCGCCGGCCCAGTCCGCGTCCGAGTAGCCACGAAAGTCGATCTTGTCGCTTGGCTGGAAGCGGAGTCCGTGCGACTTGGTCCCTTGCAAGTAACGAAAGATGCGCTTCACCGCCGTCCAATGTTCTTGCTGCGGATTCTCCATGAAGCGCGAGACGTACCCCACAGCATACGCAATGTCCGGGCGCGTCGCAGTCGTCAAGTGCATCAAAGCTCCCACAGCTTCACGAAACGGAACGTCGATCTTGGCCGCTTCGGTGCTTGCGACAAGCCGAGTGCTCAAGTCGACCGGACTTGCTGTGGCCTTGCACTCATCCATGCCGAAGCGCTTGAGGATGTCGTTGACATACCGTCGCTGGCACATTGTCACGCTGCCATCCGATTCGTCCACCAGTTCGATGCCCAGTACAAAAGTACACTTGCCACTGTCGGTCATCTCGAAACGCGTCTTGAGGTCGGCCTTCGTCTGCGCAATCAACTCGAGCGAGCTGCCGGTGACCAACACGTCATCCACGTAGACCAGCACGAGCACACAGTGACCGTCGACAACCTTGATGTAGAGACATGGGTCGAACGCCGACGCTTCGAAACCGATGGAGCATACGAACTCGTCGAAAGTCTCGTTCCACACACGTGAAGCTTGCTTGAGACCGTAGATCGCCTTCACCAACTCGAGACAGTCGAAGTCGCCATCCATCTCGACGCCTTCTGGTATCACGCAGTACACCTTCTCCTTCATCACTCCGTAGAGAAAGGCTGTCACCACATCGAGTTGGTCCAGTGGCCAGTCGAAATACTTGGTGATCGCGATCACCATACGCAGTGTCACGTACTTGACCACGGGCGAGAACGTCTCTGTGTAGTCGATGCCGTACTTCTGCTTGAAGCCCTTGGCAACGAGACGCGCCTTGTATTTCTCGACCGATCCATCCGCTTTGCGCTTGATCTTGAACACCCACTTGGTGCCGATCGCGCCTTGGCCTCTTGGCAGTTTTGCCGCACGGAAAACTCCACGAAGATGCATCGACTTGAGTTCCGCCTTCACAGCATTTCGCCAGTGAGTTTGATCAGGACCATTGATCGCGTCTTGAAAAGTCACAGGTTCTGCTAGGTCCGTTGCTTCCACTGCGTTTGCACTTGCACGCCAAAATGTTGGAGGCGTCGAGTCGTCATCTTGATCGTACACGCTTGCATCTTCTTCGTCATCAGACATCGTTTCTGGAGCACTTGATCGTCGTTTCTGGTGACGGTTGGAGACGTGTTCCGGCGCACTTGCTTGTTCCAACCCAGTTCGAGGGCGAGCTGACCGTGACATGCCGGGTCTTGCTTCACTCTTGCGCTTGCCAGTCTGCTTGTAGACGGTTTGACGCACGTCGTCCTCGTTGATCGCCAGGAGGTCGAGGTCCAACTCCGCATCTTCATCATCGTCACTTGGTCGGTCCATCGAAAAGTCAAAAGTCGATTCGTCGAAGGTGATGTCACGACTGATCACCACTTGGCCCGCCTCAATGTCGTACACTCGATAAGCTTTTGACGCTTCTTCGTAGCCCATGAACATCCCTTCACAAGCCTTCGGGTCCCACTTCAATCGCTTCTCCCTTGGTGTCAGGATAAACGCCCGACATCCAAACACGCGCATGTGCTTGACACTTGGTTTCGACTTGTACACGATCTCGAACGGAGTCTTGTGGTCGATCTTGGGTGAAGGCAGGCGGTTCTTGATGTAGATCGCCGTCATTGCCGCTTCAGCCCAGAAACACTTCTCCAGCTTTGCATGATGCAACAAGCTGCGTCCGATCGTGACGATGGTCCTTATCGCGCGTTCTGCGGTGCCGTTGGTCTGGTGTGCATACGGCACCGTGATCTGTTGTTCAATACCATGATCTTCGTAGAAGGTCTTGATGGAGTTGGTCGCAAAGTCATGCGCTCCATCGTGCCGAACAAACTTGATCTTCGTGCCGAACTGAGTTTGAATCTTGATAATGTGGTTCTTGATACAGTCTTCACTCTCAGACTTGGACCGCAGACAGAAGCCCTTCATGCAACCGCTGGCTTCGTCAACCACAAGCAGTAAGCATCTGCTGCCGCCGATCGAAACTTGTTCCATTGGCCCGCAGATGTCGAAGTGCAGCAACTCGAACACACCATATTGGCGTTTGTCACGGTTGGTTGGGAATGGTTTTTGAACCATCTTTCCTTGCTGGCAACCGCGACACACACTTGGACCAGTCGAGTTGAGAGGTGCCTTGGCGTCCTTGATCATGCCAGTGGCCACCATCTTGCGCAGAACTTCGAGGGGTGCATGACCCATGCGCGCATGCAAGTCGATGGTCCCATTGCGTGTTGCTGCATTTGCCGATCGTTGAGGAGTCCGCAGCCAGTAAAGTCCATCGACGAGATCCGCTGTTGCCACGACTTGTGTGGAATTCTTGCGCTTCACTTGCATCTTGGATCCATCGAACACGACTTGGAACCTGCCACCCTTGTTGATCTGTGGCACCGAAAGCAGATTCTTGCTCATACTTGGTACGAACAGTGCGTCCTTGATCTCGATGTCGAGTTCGTCACCATTGGGCAGAACCACCCGTTCCATGATGGTTCCCACACCCTTGATCGCAGCCTTGCTGCCATCAGCCACTGATAGTTCGCCTTCCTCTCGCTCATTCAGGCTTGTAAACTTGGCCTTGTCGTTGCAGATGTGATGCGTCGCACCGCTGTCGACTGCCCACATCCCTGGCATATTCTTGCCCGTCGAAAGTCCAGCCTCCAGCGAAACCGCGAACGCAACTCGATCGTAGTTGTCATCGTAGTTGCTGTTGGTTCGCCACTGAACGTTGTTGGCTCCGCGTCCACGAGCATTGTTGCCGCCGCGTCGAGCTCCACCTTGATTTTCGTCCTTCTGCTTGGTCCAGCACCGCTCCGCCGTGTGCCCCAATTTTCCGCAGTATGTACACTGGCGAGGTTCACGCTTGGCACTGAACGCCTTCGCCGCGTCTTCAGTCTTCACCGATGTCGTCTTGTCACCTTGTCTCTTGATGTGCTCATTCGTGAGCACTCTCACGACGTCTCGCGATCGCAGTTCCGCGCTGCTCATCTCCAAGTTGAGAACGACGTTCTCGTAGCTCTTGGGGAGGCTGCGCAACAAGCAGATCGCCACGTCCTCGTCCTCCATCTTGGCGCCGATGCTGCTGAGCTTCGCGCTGATGTTGAGGACTTCGTTGCAATGATGCATCACATTGCCGCCTTCCGCCATCTCCATGCTGAACAGCTGGCGCTTCAAGTAGATGCGTCCAGCCTTCTGCGACCCGCCGTACAGCGTCTTCAAACGCGCCCACGCGACCCACGCCTCTTCACAGTCATCAACCACGTGATGATAATCCGCGCTCATGTGCAGCAGCATCAAGCCGAACGCAATGTTGTTCGTCTTGATGTAGTCGTCACTGGCGCGAGGATCGGCGAAGGTGGGGGGTGGTCTCCCGGTTCACCACGTGCCACGCCGACTTGGTCAGGAACACGCCACGCATGTAGCGGCTCCACGTCGCGTAGTTGTCGCCGTCGAACTTGTCGATGGAGATCTTGGTGGTGGCATCATGAGCAGAGGACATCGTGCTTGGGCTCATAACCTGTTGAATTGTGAAAAGCTTGACGACCGAAACTGGGAGTGATGCTGGGAGTCTACTCGGAAGACCGGAGAAGACACTTGGGGGTAGATGGAAGATTGGAAAGTGATTGATTATCGGGGCTTACTACTTACTACATGATTTATATGTGGTGCACATATAAATCATGTGAAGCGTCTCATCATCCTACGCGTCTAATCAACTATGGTAATTACCGTAAGAACTACGTCGTAAATACTAAGCTGAACAGGCGGTTCGGATTGGACCGGTCACGGTTACCAATACTGGTAGAAACCGATGACCGTCAACACTTACAGAATTGCGTCTGTACCATGGTGATATATTTCCGGATGTAGTCTTCACTCTCGGACTTCACTCGTAGACAAAAGCCCTTCATGCATCCACTGGCTTCGTCGATGATCAGCAGCAAATATTTGCTGCCACCGAGCGAATCCTTTTCCATGGGCCCGCAGATGTCCAGATGAAGTAGCTCAAACGTATCGTAGCTGCGCTTGTCTCGGTTACTTGGAAATGGTTTTTGGACCATTTTCCCTTGTTGACATCCTCGACATGTAGTTGCTCCACCCGACTTGAGAGGGACTCGCACATCCTTGATCATGTTGGTCGCGATCATCTTGCGAAGTACATCGACTGGAGCATGACCCATTCTCGCATGTAGATCGGCACAACTGGTTCCACTTGTTGTCACATTCGCTGATCGTTGAGTCGTCCGAAGCCAGTAGAGTCCATCCACGAGATCCGCTGTCGCCACCACTTGCTGTGAGTTCTTGAGAGTCACATACATCTTGGACCCGTCAAACACGACTTGAAACTTGCCATGGCTGTTAATCTGTGGCACCGAGAGCAGGTTCTTGCTCATACTTGGAACATATAGCGCGTTCTTGATTTCGATCTCACGCTCTTCACCGTTGGGCAGAACCACCTTTTCCATGATGGTTCCCACACCCTTGATGGCCACCTTGTTGCCATCAGCCACCAAGAGTTCGCCCTCATTGCGCTCTGCCAAACTTGCGAACTTGGTCTTGTCGTGGCAAATGTGGTGCGTTGCACCACTGTCGACGGCCCACATTCCAGACACGTCCTTGCTCGTCGAAACTCCACATTCGAACGAGACTGCAAACGCCACTCGATCGTAGCCATTGTATTCATCATGATGTCCCCACTGGACATTGTTAGCCCCGCGTCCACGACCATTGCCGCCGCGTCGGGCTCCCCTGACCTTCGTTCTTCTGCTTTGTCCAGCAACGATCCACCGTGTGTCCCACCTTGCCACAATACGTGCATTGGTAGGGCTCACGCTCGGCGCTGAATGCCTTGCTTGCATCTTCAGCCTTCACCGTAGTCGCTGTCGTTGTCCCTTTTCTCCTTGACGCTTGGCATGCTCATTCGTCAGGACTCTCACCACATCTTGAGTGCGAAGCTCGGTGCTGCTCATTTCCATGTTGAGCACCACATTTTCGTAGCTCTTCGGAAGACTGAGTAGCAGACAAATTGCAACGTCTTCGTCTTCCATCTTCGCACCGATGCCGCTAAGCTTGGCGGAGATGTTGAGGACCTCGTTGCAGTGATGCATGACGTTCGCGCCTTCAGCCATCTTGATACTGAAAAGTTGTCGCTTGAGGTAGATGCGTCCTGCCTTCTGCGACCCACCGTACAGCGTCTTCAGACTTGTCCACGCAACCCAGGCTTCCTCGCAGTTGTCCAGCACATGATGGTAGTCCGCGTTCATGTGCAGCAGCATCATACCAAACGCGACGTTGCTTGCCTTGACGTAGTCATCGGACGCTCGCGGGTCGGTGAAAGTCGGAGTCACTTCACGGTTGACAACGTGCCAGACGGACTTCGTCAAAAACACACCGCGCATGTACCGGCTCCACGTTGCGTAATTGTCTCCGTTGAACTTGTCAATGGAGGCGTTGCTGGTGGACGATATGGCGCTTGGGCTCATAACCTGTTGCATTGTAGATCGGAGCGAGGAAAGCGGAGCAAACGGAGCGGAGAGACCGAAGAGAGTAGAGCAGAAAACACTTGCCCAATAGTTGGAAGATTCGAAAGTGATTGATTATCGGGGCTTACTACTTACTACATGATTTATATGTGGTGTACATATAAATCATGTGAAGCGTCTCATCATCCTACGCGTCTAATCAACTATGGTAATTACCGTAAGAACTACGTCGTAAATACTAAGCTGAACAGGCGGTTCGGATTGGACCGGTCACGGTTACCAATACTGGTAGAAACCGATGACCGTCAACACGCCCCCTCAATCCGAACTCGCACGAATGCCGAGAGCCGTCGTCAAGTCCTTGTGACGAGGTCCCGAAAGTCCCTTGGTCATGATGTCCGCCATCATCACGGAAGTCTCGCAATACTCGAGCTGCACTTCCCCGCGCTTGACCTCATCACGGATGTGATGGTACTTGATGTCGATGTGCTTGGCGCGGCCATGATTCACCGGATTCTTCGTCATCTTGATGCACGACTGGTTGTCTTCACGGATGACGAGGTCCGGTCCTGGTTCGTTTGCGGCCGCCAAAATCTCGCATAGCAGGCGATGCACCCACTTGCCTTCCTGGATGGCCAGACTCAGTGCGATGTATTCCGCTTCACTCGTCGACAGCGACACACTTGACTGCTTCTTGCTTCCCCAACTCACAGGAGCACCCATCAGCATGAAAGTGTAACCCGAAGTCGACTTGCGATCAGCGTGGTCGCCGGCCCAGTCCGCGTCCGAGTAGCCACGAAAGTCGATCTTGTCGCTTGGCTGGAAGCGGAGTCCGTGCGACTTGGTCCCTTGCAAGTAACGAAAGATGCGCTTCACCGCCGTCCAATGTTCTTGCTGCGGATTCTCCATGAAGCGCGAGACGTACCCCACAGCATACGCAATGTCCGGGCGCGTCGCAGTCGTCAAGTGCATCAAAGCTCCCACAGCTTCACGAAACGGAACGTCGATCTTGGCCGCTTCGGTGCTTGCGACAAGCCGAGTGCTCAAGTCGACCGGACTTGCTGTGGCCTTGCACTCATCCATGCCGAAGCGCTTGAGGATGTCGTTGACATACCGTCGCTGGCACATTGTCACGCTGCCATCCGATTCGTCCACCAGTTCGATGCCCAGTACAAAAGTACACTTGCCACTGTCGGTCATCTCGAAACGCGTCTTGAGGTCGGCCTTCGTCTGCGCAATCAACTCGAGCGAGCTGCCGGTGACCAACACGTCATCCACGTAGACCAGCACGAGCACACAGTGACCGTCGACAACCTTGATGTAGAGACATGGGTCGAACGCCGACGCTTCGAAACCGATGGAGCATACGAACTCGTCGAAAGTCTCGTTCCACACACGTGAAGCTTGCTTGAGACCGTAGATCGCCTTCACCAACTCGAGACAGTCGAAGTCGCCATCCATCTCGACGCCTTCTGGTATCACGCAGTACACCTTCTCCTTCATCACTCCGTAGAGAAAGGCTGTCACCACATCGAGTTGGTCCAGTGGCCAGTCGAAATACTTGGTGATCGCGATCACCATACGCAGTGTCACGTACTTGACCACGGGCGAGAACGTCTCTGTGTAGTCGATGCCGTACTTCTGCTTGAAGCCCTTGGCAACGAGACGCGCCTTGTATTTCTCGACCGATCCATCCGCTTTGCGCTTGATCTTGAACACCCACTTGGTGCCGATCGCGCCTTGGCCTCTTGGCAGTTTTGCCGCACGGAAAACTCCACGAAGATGCATCGACTTGAGTTCCGCCTTCACAGCATTTCGCCAGTGAGTTTGATCAGGACCATTGATCGCGTCTTGAAAAGTCACAGGTTCTGCTAGGTCCGTTGCTTCCACTGCGTTTGCACTTGCACGCCAAAATGTTGGAGGCGTCGAGTCGTCATCTTGATCGTACACGCTTGCATCTTCTTCGTCATCAGACATCGTTTCTGGAGCACTTGATCGTCGTTTCTGGTGACGGTTGGAGACGTGTTCCGGCGCACTTGCTTGTTCCAACCCAGTTCGAGGGCGAGCTGACCGTGACATGCCGGGTCTTGCTTCACTCTTGCGCTTGCCAGTCTGCTTGTAGACGGTTTGACGCACGTCGTCCTCGTTGATCGCCAGGAGGTCGAGGTCCAACTCCGCATCTTCATCATCGTCACTTGGTCGGTCCATCGAAAAGTCAAAAGTCGATTCGTCGAAGGTGATGTCACGACTGATCACCACTTGGCCCGCCTCAATGTCGTACACTCGATAAGCTTTTGACGCTTCTTCGTAGCCCATGAACATCCCTTCACAAGCCTTCGGGTCCCACTTCAATCGCTTCTCCCTTGGTGTCAGGATAAACGCCCGACATCCAAACACGCGCATGTGCTTGACACTTGGTTTCGACTTGTACACGATCTCGAACGGAGTCTTGTGGTCGATCTTGGGTGAAGGCAGGCGGTTCTTGATGTAGATCGCCGTCATTGCCGCTTCAGCCCAGAAACACTTCTCCAGCTTTGCATGATGCAACAAGCTGCGTCCGATCGTGACGATGGTCCTTATCGCGCGTTCTGCGGTGCCGTTGGTCTGGTGTGCATACGGCACCGTGATCTGTTGTTCAATACCATGATCTTCGTAGAAGGTCTTGATGGAGTTGGTCGCAAACTCATGCGCTCCATCGTGCCGAACAAACTTGATCTTCGTGCCGAACTGAGTTTGAATCTTGATAATGTGGTTCTTGATACAGTCTTCACTCTCAGACTTGGACCGCAGACAGAAGCCCTTCATGCAACCGCTGGCTTCGTCAACCACAAGCAGTAAGCATCTGCTGCCGCCGATCGAAACTTGTTCCATTGGCCCGCAGATGTCGAAGTGCAGCAACTCGAACACACCATATTGGCGTTTGTCACGGTTGGTTGGGAATGGTTTTTGAACCATCTTTCCTTGCTGGCAACCGCGACACACACTTGGACCAGTCGAGTTGAGAGGTGCCTTGGCGTCCTTGATCATGCCAGTGGCCACCATCTTGCGCAGAACTTCGAGGGTGCATGACCCATGCGCGCATGCAAGTCGATGGTCCCATTGCGTGTTGCTGCATTTGCCGATCGTTGAGGAGTCCGCAGCCAGTAAAGTCCATCGACGAGATCCGCTGTTGCCACGACTTGTGTGGAATTCTTGCGCTTCACTTGCATCTTGGATCCATCGAACACGACTTGGAACCTGCCACCCTTGTTGATCTGTGGCACCGAAAGCAGATTCTTGCTCATACTTGGTACGAACAGTGCGTCCTTGATCTCGATGTCGAGTTCGTCACCATTGGGCAGAACCACCCGTTCCATGATGGTTCCCACACCCTTGATCGCAGCCTTGCTGCCATCAGCCACTGATAGTTCGCCTTCCTCTCGCTCATTCAGGCTTGTAAACTTGGCCTTGTCGTTGCAGATGTGATGCGTCGCACCGCTGTCGACTGCCCACATCCCTGGCATATTCTTGCCCGTCGAAAGTCCAGCCTCCAGCGAAACCGCGAACGCAACTCGATCGTAGTTGTCATCGTAGTTGCTGTTGGTTCGCCACTGAACGTTGTTGGCTCCGCGTCCACGAGCATTGTTGCCGCCGCGTCGAGCTCCACCTTGATTTTCGTCCTTCTGCTTGGTCCAGCACCGCTCCGCCGTGTGCCCCAATTTTCCGCAGTATGTACACTGGCGAGGTTCACGCTTGGCACTGAACGCCTTCGCCGCGTCTTCAGTCTTCACCGATGTCGTCTTGTCACCTTGTCTCTTGATGTGCTCATTCGTGAGCACTCTCACGACGTCTCGCGATCGCAGTTCCGCGCTGCTCATCTCCAAGTTGAGAACGACGTTCTCGTAGCTCTTGGGGAGGCTGCGCAACAAGCAGATCGCCACGTCCTCGTCCTCCATCTTGGCGCCGATGCTGCTGAGCTTCGCGCTGATGTTGAGGACTTCGTTGCAATGATGCATCACATTGCCGCCTTCCGCCATCTCCATGCTGAACAGCTGGCGCTTCAAGTAGATGCGTCCAGCCTTCTGCGACCCGCCGTACAGCGTCTTCAAACGCGCCCACGCGACCCACGCCTCTTCACAGTCATCAACCACGTGATGATAATCCGCGCTCATGTGCAGCAGCATCAAGCCGAACGCAATGTTGTTCGTCTTGATGTAGTCGTCACTGGCGCGAGGATCGGCGAAGGTGGGGGGTGGTCTCCCGGTTCACCACGTGCCACGCCGACTTGGTCAGGAACACGCCACGCATGTAGCGGCTCCACGTCGCGTAGTTGTCGCCGTCGAACTTGTCGATGGAGATCTTGGTGGTGGCATCATGAGCAGAGGACATCGTGCTTGGGCTCATAACCTGTTGAATGGTGAAAAGCTTGACGACCGAAACTGGGAGTGATGCTGGGAGTCTACTCGGAAGACCGGAGAAGACACTTGGGGGGTAGATGGAAGATTGGAAAGTGATTGATTATCGGGGCTTACTACTTACTACATGATTTATATGTGGTGCACATATAAATCATGTGAAGCGTCTCATCATCCTACGCGTCTAATCAACTATGGTAATTACCGTAAGAACTACGTCGTAAATACTAAGCTGAACAGGCGGTTCGGATTGGACCGGTCACGGTTACCAATACTGGTAGAAACCGATGACCGTCAACACTTACAGAATTGCGTCTGTACCATGGTGATATATTTCCGGATGTAGTCTTCACTCTCGGACTTCACTCGTAGACAAAAGCCCTTCATGCATCCACTGGCTTCGTCGATGATCAGCAGCAAATATTTGCTGCCACCGAGCGAATCCTTTTCCATGGGCCCGCAGATGTCCAGATGAAGTAGCTCAAACGTATCGTAGCTGCGCTTGTCTCGGTTACTTGGAAATGGTTTTGGACCATTTTCCCTTGTTGACATCCTCGACATGTAGTTGCTCCACCCGACTTGAGAGGGACTCGCACATCCTTGATCATGTTGGTCGCGATCATCTTGCGAAGTACATCGACTGGAGCATGACCCATTCTCGCATGTAGATCGGCACAACTGGTTCCACTTGTTGTCACATTCGCTGATCGTTGAGTCGTCCGAAGCCAGTAGAGTCCATCCACGAGATCCGCTGTCGCCACCACTTGCTGTGAGTTCTTGAGAGTCACATACATCTTGGACCCGTCAAACACGACTTGAAACTTGCCATGGCTGTTAATCTGTGGCACCGAGAGCAGGTTCTTGCTCATACTTGGAACATATAGCGCGTTCTTGATTTCGATCTCACGCTCTTCACCGTTGGGCAGAACCACCTTTTCCATGATGGTTCCCACACCCTTGATGGCCACCTTGTTGCCATCAGCCACCAAGTTCGCCCTCATTGCGCTCTGCCAAACTTGCGAACTTGGTCTTGTCGTGGCAAATGTGGTGCGTTGCACCACTGTCGACGGCCCACATTCCAGACACGTCCTTGCTCGTCGAAACTCCACATTCGAACGAGACTGCAAACGCCACTCGATCGTAGCCATTGTATTCATCATGATGTCCCCACTGGACATTGTTAGCCCCCGCGTCCACGACCATTGCCGCCGCGTCGGGCTCCCCGACCTTCGTTCTTCTGCTTTGTCCAGCAACGATCCACCGTGTGTCCCACCTTGCCACAATACGTGCATTGGTAGGGCTCACGCTCGGCGCTGAATGCCTTGCTTGCATCTTCAGCCTTCACCGTAGTCGCTGTCGTTGTCCCTTTTTCTCCTTGACGCTTGGCATGCTCATTCGTCAGGACTCTCACCACATCTTGAGTGCGAAGCTCGGTGCTGCTCATTTCCATGTTGAGCACCACATTTTCGTAGCTCTTCGGAAGACTGAGTAGCAGACAAATTGCAACGTCTTCGTCTTCCATCTTCGCACCGATGCCGCTAAGCTTGGCGGAGATGTTGAGGACCTCGTTGCAGTGATGCATGACGTTCGCGCCTTCAGCCATCTTGATACTGAAAAGTTGTCGCTTGAGGTAGATGCGTCCTGCCTTCTGCGACCCACCGTACAGCGTCTTCAGACTTGTCCACGCAACCCAGGCTTCCTCGCAGTTGTCCAGCACATGATGGTAGTCCGCGTTCATGTGCAGCAGCATCATACCAAACGCGACGTTGCTTGCCTTGACGTAGTCATCGGACGCTCGCGGGTCGGTGAAAGTCGGAGTCACTTCACGGTTGACAACGTGCCAGACGGACTTCGTCAAAAACACACCGCGCATGTACCGGCTCCACGTTGCGTAATTGTCTCCGTTGAACTTGTCAATGGAGGCGTTGCTGGTGGACGACATGGCGCTTGGGCTCATAACCTGTTGCATTGTAGATCGGAGCGAGGAAAGCGGAGCAAACGGAGCGGAGAGACCGAAGAGAGTAGAGCAGAAAACACTTGCCCAATAGTTGGAAGATTCGAAAGTGATTGATTATCGGGGCTTACTACTTACTACATGATTTATATGTGGTGTACATATAAATCATGTGAAGCGTCTCATCATCCTACGCGTCTAATCAACTATGGTAATTACCGTAAGAACTACGTCGTAAATACCAAGCTGAATAGGCGGTTCGGATTGGACCGGTCACGGTTACCAATACTGGTAGAAAACCGATGACCGTCAACACGGTCTTTTCGCGTTCATTACGTGTTGACGGTCATCGGTTTTCTACCAGTATTGGTAACCGTGACCGGTCCAATCCGGAACCGCCTGTTCAGCTTGGTATTTACGACGTAGTTCTTACGGTAATTACCATAGTTGATTAGACGCGTAGGATGATGAGATGCTTCACATGATTTATATGTACACCACATATAAATCATGTAGTAAGTAGTAAGCCCCGATAATCAATCACTTTCGAATCTTCCAACTATTGGGCAAGTGTTTTCTGCTCTACTCTCTTCGGTCTCTCCGCTCCGTTTGCTCCGCTTTCCTCGCTCCGATCTACAATGCAACAGGTTATGAGCCCAAGCGCCATGTCGTCCACCAGCAACGCCTCCATTGACAAGTTCAACGGAGACAATTACGCAACGTGGAGCCGGTACATGCGCGGTGTGTTTTTGACGAAGTCCGTCTGGCACGTTGTCAACCGTGAAGTGACTCCGACTTTCACCGACCCGCGAGCGTCCGATGACTACGTCAAGGCAAGCAACGTCGCGTTTGGTATGATGCTGCTGCACATGAACGCGGACTACCATCATGTGCTGGACAACTGCGAGGAAGCCTGGGTTGCGTGGACAAGTCTGAAGACGCTGTACGGTGGGTCGCAGAAGGCAGGACGCATCTACCTCAAGCGACAACTTTTCAGTATCAAGATGGCTGAAGGCGCGAACGTCATGCATCACTGCAACGAGGTCCTCAACATCTCCGCCAAGCTTAGCGGCATCGGTGCGAAGATGGAAGACGAAGACGTTGCAATTTGTCTGCTACTCAGTCTTCCGAAGAGCTACGAAAATGTGGTGCTCAACATGGAAATGAGCAGCACCGAGCTTCGCACTCAAGATGTGGTGAGAGTCCTGACGAATGAGCATGCCAAGCGTCAAGGAGAAAAAGGGACAACGACAGCGACTACGGTGAAGGCTGAAGATGCAAGCAAGGCATTCAGCGCCGAGCGTGAGCCCTACCAATGCACGTATTGTGGCAAGGTGGGACACACGGTGGATCGTTGCTGGACAAAGCAGAAGAACGAAGGTCGGGGAGCCCGACGCGGCGGCAATGGTCGTGGACGCGGGGCTAACAATGTCCAGTGGGGACATCATGATGAAGGCAATGGCTACGATCGAGTGGCGTTTGCAGTCTCGTTCGAATGTGGAGTTTCGACGAGCAAGGACGTGTCTGGAATGTGGGCCGTCGACAGTGGTGCAACGCACCACATTTGCCACGACAAGACCAAGTTCGCAAGTTTGGCAGAGCGCAATGAGGGCGAACTCTTGGTGGCTGATGGCAACAAGGTGGCCATCAAGGGTGTGGGAACCATCATGGAAAAGGTGGTTCTGCCCAACGGTGAAGAGCGTGAGATCGAAATCAAGAACGCGCTATATGTTCCAAGTATGAGCAAGAACCTGCTCTCGGTGCCACAGATTAACAGCCATGGCAAGTTTCAAGTCGTGTTTGACGGGTCCAAGATGTATGTGACTCTCAAGAACTCACAGCAAGTGGTGGCGACAGCGGATCTCGTGGATGGACTCTACTGGCTTCGGACGACTCAACGATCAGCGAATGTGACAACAAGTGGAACCAGTTGTGCCGATCTACATGCGAGAATGGGTCATGCTCCAGTCGATGTACTTCGCAAGATGATCGCGACCAACATGATCAAGGATGTGCGAGTCCCTCTCAAGTCGGGTGGAGCAACTACATGTCGAGGATGTCAACAAGGGAAAATGGTCCAAAAACCATTTCCAAGCAACCGAGACAAGCGCAGCTACGATACGTTTGAGCTACTTCATCTGGACATCTGCGGGCCCATGGAAAAGGATTCGCTCGGTGGCAGCAAATATTTGCTGCTGATCATCGACGAAGCCAGTGGATGCATGAAGGGCTTTTGTCTACGAGTGAAGTCCGAGAGTGAAGACTACATCCGGAAATATATCACCATGGTACAGACGCAATTCTGTAAGAAGGTCAAGTTCGTGCGACACGACGGAGCTCGCGAGTTTGCAACCAACTCGCTTCAACTGTTCTACGAAGACGAAGGCATTGAACAGCAGACAACGGTGCCGTATGCACATCAAACAAACGGAACAGCAGAGCGTGCCATTAGGACTATTGTCACGATCGGCCGCAGCATGCTTCATCATGCCAAACTGGACAAGTGTTTCTGGGCCGAAGCAGCGATGACGGCCATCTACGTCAAGAATCGACTGCCGTCACCTAAAGTCGTGCACAAGACCCCGTTTGAGATCGTCTACAACTTGAAACCAAGCGTCAAGCACATGCGAACATTCGGGTGTCAGACATACATACTGACGCCTAAAGAGAATCGACTCAAGTGGGATCCAAAGGCTCGCGCTGGCATATTCGTGGGCTACGAAGAAGTTTCGAAGGCATATCGTGTTTATGACATCGAGGCGGGGCAGGTGGTTATCAGCCGCGATGTCAACTTCGACGAGTCCACCTTTGGACTTCAACTGCCGATCACTGATGAAGATGTCGATGACCTGGACTTCGAATTGCTGGATCTTGATGACGAAGAGCTGCGTCAAATGGAGTACAAGCAAAGAGGCAAGCGCAAGAACCGACTCAATGATGAAGATACAGCAGCTCCACGACCGCGTGCAGTGCGTCAACGACCAGGACTAGAAGAGTCAAGCGCGCCGGAAAACAACTCGTCACGACAAGAAGAAGACGAAGAAACGAAGGATTCTGGTGATTCAACACCGCCTGTGTTTTGGCGTGCGAGTGCAAATGCCGTTGAAGCAGCAGTGGACTTATCAGAACCCTCAACATTTGAAGCAGCAGTAAGCGGCCCTGACCAAGTGCACTGGAGAAAAGCAATTCATGCAGAGCTCGAGTCAATGCGACTTCGCGGTGTGTTTCGTGCAGCCAAGCTGCCCAACGGACAACGCGCCATTGGCACAAAATGGGTGTTCAAGATCAAGCGCAAGGCGGATGGGTCGATCGAGAAGTACAAGGCAAGTCTCGTGGCAAAGGGCTTTCTCCAGAAGTATAGAATCGACTACACCGAGACGTTTTCGCCCGTGGTCAAGTATGTGACGCTGCGAATGGTGATCGCAATTTCCAAGCATTTTGGATGGCCCATCGACCAGCTTGATGTGGTGACAGCTTTCCTGTATGGCGTCATGAAGGAACAAGTGTTCTGCGTGATTCCTGAAGGCGTCGAACTTGACAGTACGTTCGACTGCCTGGAATTGGTGAAGTCAATTTACGGCCTCAAGCAAGCGTCGCGAGTGTGGAACGAGACGTTCGACGAGTATGTGTGCTCCATCGGATTTCAAGTATCGGACTTCGACCCATGTCTCTACATCAAGACTTCGGACGGCCATTGCGTGTTTATACTGGTCTACGTGGACGACGTCTTGGTGACTGGAAGCTCGCTCGAGCTGATTGCACAAACCAAGAACGACCTGAAGACGCGGTTCGAAATGACGGACAGCGGCAAGTGTGCGTTTGTTCTTGGGATCGAGCTTTTGGACGGTGAAGATGGCAGTGTGACACTATGTCAGCGTCGGTATGTCGATGATATCCTCAAGCGCTTTGGCATGGATGATTGCAAGGCAGTCGCAAGTCCAGTCGACATGAGCTCTCGACTTGTTTCAAGTGATGCAACTACCAAGGTCGATGCTCCTTTTCGCGAAGCTGTTGGTGCGTTGATGCACCTGACCACTGCAACGCGTCCGGACATTGCGTTTGCTGTGGGCTATGTGTCGCGGTTCATAAAATCTGATGAACGTTAGACTTCTTGGTCCGAGTGCAAAACGCAAAGTGAATATATATTTATAATAGGTACTTAGTTCGCAACTTTGAATACTACCTCTAAGCCTATTATTCGCAGTGACGTCATGCAATGACGTCATTTCCTGACTTCGCCCTTACTGGTACATACCGGTACCCACCGGTATAGCGAAGCTTGGTCTTCCACTTGATTCAGCACTTGACGCAGCTTGACGAGGTGTCTTCTTCACAGCCGCTGTCTTTTCAACACTCCCTCTCGACTCGTTAGCTGCGGCACCTTGGATCCCAAGTCGATCGCGAATGTTTTCAAATTGTACAGCGGCGATCGGCTTGGTCGTCATGTCTGCCAGCATATCTTGAGTCGAGCAATACTCCAAAACGACTTCACCTGATTCCACCTTCTCACGCACAAAATGGTAGCGTATGTCGATGTGTTTTGTTCTCTTATGGAACTCCGGGTTCTTGGCGAGAGCGATTGATCCTTGGTTGTCTTCATACATCTTGATCGCTTCGTCGCTTGTCATCTCACCAAGTTCACCCAAAAGCACCTTGAGCTACACTGCTTCTTTGGTTGCTTCGGAAAGCGCCATGTATTCTGCTTCTGTTGAAGATAGCGCGACCGTCCGTTGTTTCTGGCTTTTCCAGCTGATGCATCCTCCGCTCATCATGAACACATAGCCGCTTGTACTTCGTCTTGACTCAATGTCGCCGGCCCAGTCTGCGTCGGTGTACCCGCAGATACGGCTTCCTTCTTCACGTGTAAACTCAAGACCATGATTAGGCGTTGCTTGCAGGTATCTCAGCACACGCTTCAAAGCTTGCCAGTGAGTCGGGCATGGGTCGGACGAGAACTGGGATAATGATCCCACTGCAGCAGCTAGATCCGGACGTGTGGCGACCATGAGATACATGATGCCTCCGACAGCACTTCGATATGGCACGTTGCACATGGTGTCTTCGTGCTTGCATTCTTGTTCACACATGTTCTTGGTTAGCTTCAGGCCGGGATCTTGAGGCGTCTTCACTGGCTTGCTGTTATCCATTCCGAACTTGGTCAACACGGACTTGAGAAACTTGGTTTGTTGCACAGTCACCATTCCCGTCTTACGGTCGTTCTTGATCTCCATGCCGAGAAAGTAATCGAGCTCACCGAGATCCGTCATTTCGAAGCGTTTGCTTCGCGCCATCTTGGTCGACTTGAGGAGTTCGTTGTTGCTGCTGGCCAGGATGAGATCATCGACGTAGAGCACCACGAGAATCACGTCTTGGTCGTCTCGCTTGATGTAGATGCAGTGGTCCGATTCGCACTTCTTGAATCCCATCTTGATCATGAACCCATCGATTGTTTGGTTCCACATGCGAGGCGATTGCTTCAAGCCGTAGAGTGATCTCTTTAGCTTGCACACATAGTCCGGCTGTGTTGCATCCAGGTATCCGTCCGGCTGGTCCATGTAGATGTCTTCGTTGAGGGAGCCGTTAAGAAACGCTGTCTTGGCGTCCATCTGATGTAGCATTAGGCCGTACTTAGCCGCCATACTGAGCACCACACGAATCGATGTGAACTTGGCCACCGGTGCGAAAGTTTCTTCATAGTCAACTCCGAATTTCTGTGAGAATCCTTTGGCCACAAGTCTTGCCTTGAAACTGTTGAAAAGACAGCGGCTGTGAAGAAGACACCTCGTCAAGCTGCGTCAAGTGTTGAAGCAAGTGGAAGACCAAGCTTCGCTATACCGGTGGGTACCGGTATGTACCAGTAAGGGCGAAGTCAGGAAATGACGTCACTGGATGACGTCATTGCATGACGTCAGTGGGTGACGTCACTGGATGACGTCACTGCGAATAATAGGCTTAGAGGTAGTATTCAAAGTTGCGAACTAAGTACCTATTATAAATGTATATTCACTTTGCGTTTTGCACTCGGACCAAGAAGTCTAAAGTTCATCAGGTTATGAGCCCAAGTTCGTCAGACTCTGAAACCGCCAACAATTCAAGCTTAGCTGCCATGGACGCCTCCTCCCTCCGCATCTCCAAGTTCGATGGAACTAACTTCCACGCCTGGAAGTTCAAGATGCAGATGGTGCTGGAGGAACGGGACCTATGGGAGGTCGTCAGCGGTGAGATCAAGGCGGAACAGTGCGAGACTCAGTTGGACCAAGCGACGTACAAGAGGAAGTCAAGAAAGGCGATGGCAGTGATCTGTCTAGCCATGGAAGATTCCCAGCTACCGTTGGTCCGGTCGGCAAGTGGTGCATGCGACGCATGGTCAAGGTTGGAAGACCACTTCGAGAAGAAGAGTCTTGCCAACAAGCTGTTCTTGCGCCGTCGCTTCTTCACGACAATGATGGAAGAAGGCGACGATGTGCTCGAACACATCAACAAGCTCAAGACGCTGGCGGAACAGCTAGAAGCGGTGGGGGCTCCAGTCTGCGAGGACGATCTGGTGATCACACTCCTCGGCAGCCTGAGTGACTCGTATCAATTCTTGATCACAGCTTTGGAGTCGCGCTCAGACACTCTTAGCTGGGAGCTCGTGACGTCTCGACTGCTTCATGAAGAAATGAAGCGGAAGGAGCAAGGAAGTAAAGGTGATGAAGCTTCGCAAGGTCAAGCGTTCATCACAAGGGACAATCAGCGCAAAGGGCGACCAGTGAAGAAGTCCTGGCCGTGCCACAATTGCGGAAAGATTGGTCACTGGATGGCGGAGTGCCCCTCGCGCATCCAAGAAAACACGGAGAGACACCGGCCAAAGCGTGCTCAAGACAGCGGCGACCGCTATCGATCACAACGTGCAAACGTCGCTCAAGAAGAAGACTCGGGCGACTACCTCTTTTCGATCGGTGAAACGACATCTGCGAAATCGAGCGACATCTGGCTGGTCGACTCCGGGGCGACGCAGCACATGACGTGCTCCAAGAAGTTCATGCGGAACTACAAGGGGTTTGACGCTGTGGATGTCCATCTCGCGGATGATGGAATCGTCCAAGCAATCGGCAGTGGGGACATTGTCATGTCGATGAAGACACCCCAAGGGATGAAGAAAGGTGTGCTCACAAACGAGTGGCACATCCCAAAGTTATCCAGAAACCTGTTCTCGGTCGGCCGCTTCACCAAGGATGTCGGCCCAGTGACGTTCACGAAGGATGGGTGCTATGGAGAAGCGAAAGGGACCAAGTGGAAAATTGGTGCCCGTGAAGGTAAAGGACTGTTCAAGCTGCAAATGACTCCAGTGGCGCCGGAACAAGCAAATGCAGCCAAGTCGTCGGGATGTCAAGGGGGCACCAAGTCGTACCTCTGGCACCTTCGGCTTGGCCACATAGGTCACGATGGACTCAATTGCATCGTGACGAAGAACATTGGAATTGGCATCGACATATCTTCGGTGAAGAAGTGGGACGTGTGTGAAGGTTGTGCTCTGGGAAAACAGACTCGAGTGCGCTTCCAATCAAACACTACAGCTCGCACCTCCAAACTCCTCGAAGTGATTCACAGCGACGTATGTGGACCGATGTCGATGGCAACTTTCAGTGGAAAACGGTACTTCGTGACATTCATTGATGACAAGTCAAGATACTGTGTCGTCTATCTGCTCAAGAGCAAATCTGAAGTTGCGGCGAAGTTCACGGAATACGCTGCGATGGCCGAAACGCAACCGAAAGCTGAAGTACCTTCAAAGCGACAATTGGGGTGAATACTGATGAACTTTAGACTTCTTGGTCCGAGTGCAAAACGCAAAGTGAATATATATTTATAATAGGTACTTAGTTCGCAACTTTGAATACTACCTCTAAGCCTATTATTCGCAGTGACGTCATCCAGTGACGTCACCCACTGACGTCACCCACTGACGTCATGCAATGACGTCATCCAGTGACGTCATTTCCTGACTTCGCCCTTACTGGTACATACCGGTACCCACCGGTATAGCGAAGCTTGGTCTTCCACTTGCTTCAACACTTGACGCAGCTTGACGAGGTGTCTTCTTCACAGCCGCTGTCTTTTCAACACTCCCTCTCGACTCGTTAGCTGCGGCACCTTGGATCCCAAGTCGATCGCGAATGTTTTCAAATTGTACAGCGGCGATCGGCTTGGTCATCATGTCTGCCAGCATATCTTGAGTCGGGCAATACTCCAAAACGACTTCACCTGATTCCACCTTCTCACGCACAAAATGGTAGCGTATGTCGATGTGTTTTGTTCTCTTATGGAACTCCGGGTTCTTGGCGAGAGCGATTGATCCTTGGTTGTCTTCATACATCTTGATCGCTTCGTCGCTTGTCATCTCACCAAGTTCCCCCAAAAGCACTTTGAGCCATACTGCTTCTTTGGTTGCTTCGGAAAGCGCCATGTATTCTGCTTCTGTTGAAGATAGCGCGACCGTCCGTTGTTTCTGGCTTTTCCAGCTGATGCATCCTCCGCTCATCATGAACACATAGCCGCTTGTACTTCGTCTTGACTCAATGTCGCCGGCCCAGTCTGCGTCGGTGTACCCGCAGATACGGCTTCCTTCTTCACGTGTAAACTCAAGACCATGATTGGGCGTTGCTTGCAGGTATCTCAGCACACGCTTCAAAGCTTGCCAGTGAGTCGGGCATGGGTCGGACGAGAACTGGGATAATGATCCCACTGCAGCAGCTAGATCCGGACGTGTGGCGACCATGAGATACATGATGCCTCCGACAGCACTTCGATATGGCACGTTGCACATGGTGTCTTCGTGCTTGCATTCTTGTTCACACATGTTCTTGGTTAGCTTCAGGCCGGGATCTTGAGGCGTCTTCACTGGCTTGCTGTTATCCATTCCGAACTTGGTTAACACGGACTTGAGAAACTTGGTTTGTTGTACAGTCACCATTCCCGTCTTACGGTCGTTCTTGATCTCCATGCCGAGAAAGTAATCGAGCTCACCGAGATCCGTCATTTCGAAGCGTTTGCTTCGCGCCATCTTGGTCGACTTGAGGAGTTCGTTGTTGCTGCTGGCCAGGATGAGATCATCGACGTAGAGCACCACGAGAATCACGTCTTGGTCGTCTCGCTTGATGTAGATGCAGTGGTCCGATTCGCACTTCTTGAATCCCATCTTGATCATGAACCCATCGATTGTTTGGTTCCACATGCGAGGCGATTGCTTCAAGCCGTAGAGTGATCTCTTTAGCTTGCACACATAGTCCGGCTGTGTTGCATCCAGGTATCCGTCCGGCTGGTCCATGTAGATGTCTTCGTTGAGGGAGCCGTTAAGAAATGCTGTCTTGACGTCCATCTGATGTAGCATTAGGCCGTACTTAGCCGCCATACTGAGCACCACACGAATCGATGTGAACTTGGCCACCGGTGCGAAAGTTTCTTCATAGTCAACTCCGAATTTCTGTGAGAATCCTTTGGCCACAAGTCTTGCCTTGAAACGTTCAACTTCGCCATCTTGATTCTCCTTTACACGAAAAACCCATCGGCACCCGATGGCCTTGCGACCTTTCGGAAGAGGCACGATTTCCCACGTGTCGTTTCTCTGAAGCGAATCGAACTCCGAGTCACACGCTTCTTTCCACTTGCCGGAGTCGCTTGATTCCATCGCCGACTTGAATGTAGTCGGCGTTTCCCCCACTGAATCAACGATGTAGGCTGCTTCAAAATCCATTGCAGCCGCTGACACATGCTCAAGCGACGGACCTCTGTATGTTCTTCGCTTGGGACTTGGAATGACGGTAGCTTTCTCAAGTGATTGAGTGCGCGTGTGTCTCTTGATGTTGCTCTTCGAAGACCTGGTGTCTTCGTTGTCATCGTCGCTCGAGTCCATGTCGTCGTCAGTTTTACCTTCTTCTTTTTCTTCGTCCTCATCATGATCATCAAACTCAACGACACTTGACTCATCGTTGTAGTTGCGCGGACCTTCATCAAACTTGTCTTCCATGAATGTGGCATCGCGACTGATCTTGATCGCTCCTGTTGACACTTCCTCAAATCGATATGACTTCTGGTGTTCGGCGTATCCCAGGAAACGACAGAGTGATGACTTGGAGTCGAACTTCGCGCGTTTGTCTTGAGGCACTTGAACATACGCGTGGCATCCAAACACTTTAAGGTTGGCCAGAATCGGTTTCTTCATCGTCCACACTTGATATGGAGACTTGTCTTGGTGAATGGCACGTGTTGGACAGCGGTTTCGAAGAAACATCGCCGTCATCACTGCTTCACCCCAGTAGCTCTTTCCCAGTCCAGCGTGTTCCATCATGCAACGCGCACACTCGACCAGCGTGCGATTCATTCTCTCAGCTACTCCGTTTAGCTGAGGAGTATATGGGGGTGTGAACCTTTGTTGTATTCCCCGTTCCGCGCAGAATCGTGCCAGCTTGTCGGACTTGTATTCACCCCCATTGTCGCTTTGAAGGTACTTCACGCGCTTTCCGGTTTGCGTTTCGGCCATCGCAGCGTATTCCGTGAACTTCGCCGCAACTTCAGATTTGCTCTTGAGCAGATAGACGACACAGTATCTTGACTTGTCATCAATGAATGTCACGAAGTACCGTTTTCCACTGAAAGTTGCCATCGACATCGGTCCGCATACGTCGCTGTGAATCACTTCGAGGAGTTTGGAGGTGCGAGCTGTAGTGTTTGATTGGAAGCGCACTCGAGTCTGTTTTCCCAGAGCACAACCTTCACACACGTCCCACTTCTTCACCGAAGATATGTCGATGCCAATTCCAATGTTCTTCGTCACGATGCAATTGAGTCCATCGTGACCTATGTGGCCAAGCCGAAGGTGCCAGAGGTACGACTTGGTGCCCCCTTGACATCCCGACGACTTGGCTGCATTTGCTTGTTCCGGCGCCACTGGAGTCATTTGCAGCTTGAACAGTCCTTTACCTTCACGGGCACCAATTTTCCACTTGGTCCCTTTCGCTTCTCCATAGCACCCATCCTTCGTGAACGTCACTGGGCCGACATCCTTGGTGAAGCGGCCGACCGAGAACAGGTTTCTGGATAACTTTGGGATGTGCCACACGTTTGTGAGCACACCTTTCTTCATCCCTTGGGGTGTCTTCATCGACATGACAATGTCCCCACTGCCGATTGCTTGGACGATTCCATCATCCGCGAGATGGACATCCACAGCGTCAAACCCCTTGTAGTTCCGCATGAACTTCTTGGAGCACGTCATGTGCTGCGTCGCCCCGGAGTCGACCAGCCAGATGTCGCTCGATTTCGCAGATGTCGTTTCACCGATCGAAAAGAGGTAGTCGCCCGAGTCTTCTTCTTGAGCGACGTTTGCACGTTGTGATCGATAGCGGTCGCCGCTGTCTTGAGCACGCTGTGGCCGGTGTCTCTCCGTGTTTTCTTGGATGCGCGAGGGGCACTCCGCCATCCAGTGACCAATCTTTCCGCAATTGTGGCACGGCCAGGACTTCTTCACTGGTCGCCCTTTGCGCTGATTGTCCCTTGTGATGAACGCTTGACCTTGCGAAGCTTCATCACCTTTACTTCCTTGCTCCTTCCGCTTCATTTCTTCATGAAGCAGTCGAGACGTCACGAGCTCCCAGCTAAGAGTGTCTGAGCGCGACTCCAAAGCTGTGATCAAGAATTGATACGAGTCACTCAGGCTGCCGAGGAGTGTGATCACCAGATCGTCCTCGCAGACTGGAGCCCCCACCGCTTCTAGCTGTTCCGCCAGCGTCTTGAGCTTGTTGATGTGTTCGAGCACATCGTCGCCTTCTTCCATCATTGTCGTGAAGAAGCGACGGCGCAAGAACAGCTTGTTGGCAAGACTCTTCTTCTCGAAGTGGTCTTCCAACCTTGACCATGCGTCGCATGCACCACTTGCCGACCGGACCAACGGTAGCTGGGAATCTTCCATGGCTAGACAGATCACTGCCATCGCCTTTCTTGACTTCCTCTTGTACGTCGCTTGGTCCAACTGAGTCTCGCACTGTTCCGCCTTGATCTCACCGCTGACGACCTCCCATAGGTCCCGTTCCTCCAGCACCATCTGCATCTTGAACTTCCAGGCGTGGAAGTTAGTTCCATCGAACTTGGAGATGCGGAGGGAGGAGGCGTCCATGGCAGCTAAGCTTGAATTGTTGGCGGTTTCAGAGTCTGACGAACTTGGGCTCATAACCTGATGAACTTTAGACTTCTTGGTCCGAGTGCAAAACGCAAAGTGAATATATATTTATAATAGGTACTTAGTTCGCAACTTTGAATACTACCTCTAAGCCTATTATTCGTAGTGACGTCATCCAGTGACGTCACCCACTGACGTCACCCACTGACGTCATGCAATGACGTCATCCAGTGACGTCATTTCCTGACTTCGCCCTTACTGGTACATACCGGTACCCACCGGTATAGCGAAGCTTGGTCTTCCACTTGCTTCAACACTTGACGCAGCTTGACGAGGTGTCTTCTTCACAGCCGCTGTCTTTTCAACAAATACAAGTCCGACAAGCTGGCACGATTCTGCGCGGAACGGGGAATACAACAAAGGTTCTGATGAACTTTAGACTTCTTGGTCCGAGTGCAAAACGCAAAGTGAATATATATTTATAATAGGTACTTAGTTCGCAACTTTGAATACTACCTCTAAGCCTATTATTCGCAGTGACGTCATCCAGTGACGTCACCCACTGACGTCACCCACTGACGTCATGCAATGACGTCATCCAGTGACGTCACCCACTACGTTATCCAATGACGTCA